AACCAAATCCTTCCTCATGTTTCTGAAGGTACAATAATAATAATTAAAAAAAGATTGTTTAAATGTGCTAAAGGTAAAATACAGCAAACTGTATTTTTTGTCTTTAAACTATCATTAAAAGTTATTTCAGAGTTTACTTAAATCACTGCTTAGTTTTCTTTTAAAAAGATAAAATAAAGAAAAAGAAGTTGCCATTTGATAAACTACAGATGATATGCAAGGGCAGTTTATTACAGCGTAATACATAAATCCTCTGGCCAGCAAGTAAGTGGTTAGTAAAGAAACCACAACTCCTGCAGCAGAAAATGCTCTGTAAGGAATAGTGAGAATAGGATCTCACTAAAACCAAAATTAATCTTTCAGTGAGTGAACGTCATCCCTCTGCAGATGATGAGTGTAAGCGCTGTGGCCACAACTGCCTCCCAGATAAGGAGCCCTAAGTGTTACACTGATCTCACTGTTGCTTTTACACCTTATCTAGGGGTAAATTACCACAATTTATATAAACTTACAGTTTTGGAAAGCTCCCCAAGTTTTTGCAATGGTTTTCACTGACATTCCTGTTTCCCTATAGTACACACACATAAAGAGGATGTAGTGCATCATCAAGTTGCCAGCCCAAATGTTTTCAGTTTTAAAGAAGTTCATTTTCAAATGCTGGTCAGTGTTTGCTGGATGTTGGAAGTGGCAACATCATGTGTACATGCTCATGCAGTGCCCCAGCCTCCATGGATAAAGCCTTCTGGAAGAAAATTTGCAATTGCATTTTATAGATTGTACTACCAAGTATGTTAGCGATCAGACAACTTACCATCTTTGAACTCACGAAGAAGCATTTCCATTAGAAACTCTGTACCTTGATCCACTTGGTCTATGCTTGTTTGTCAGTTTATACCTAGAATAGTACCACTGAAACCCAGTGGCACTGAATTTCTATCTTTGACACTGCCTCAGGCCATATAAAGCAATACTGCAAATCAAGCAGCCAAATTTAAAATGTTTTTTAAGTCTAGCTTCTCTCAGAGCTCCAAAAGAAGAAGAAAAAAAATTCAGACAAATGCATCTAAATCAGCTTTGTTAGTCTCTGGGACACTTTTGTTGGATTAAATAGCTGAGGCTGTTAACTATGGATAAAAGGGTAATCCAGAAAACACCCAAAAGTACTTTTAACACTTTGGAGGATAATGTTATTATTCTCTTTGAAAGCATATTCAGGCATGTTCTCTCTACCCTTCTTAAAAAAAACCCAACAACATAAACCAGCACCAGTTTGCTCAGCCAAGAGAGCTCATAAAGGTGAAGAGCACTTCTCATGGGATACAAAATGTGAATTATATTAGAAAATAAACTCTAGATTACATTTGGCATTCCTAGACTGTCTACCAGCAACAGATGTTCTGTCCTGAAAGTGATATAATTTTGACAGCAGTACAGCAACTCCTTAAATAAATTACTGAGTTATTGTCAAAGTAGTACAGATAAATTTTTTTTTTAGGAAAAACGATTTCACTCTTTAACCAATTAATTACAAATTTACATTCATTTTCTTTCCAATCGTGTTGTTGGGTTTTAGTCCTTTCTGTAGAACTCCTAAATTGTTGCTCTTGCTGCAGCCACTGTTCTTACAGCGGACTTTATTTTTAGGTGAGAACATTGAATAAAATCCTATCTCTGTTACAGTCAAGAAATTTGTGGCTGACTGCAGCAGGGCAGGATTTTTATCCCTGGAATCCCTCCCATGCTGCCCCCTGCCCACAGGGAGGTGAGAGGGACACGGAGAAGAAACCTTGCAAGGTGGCAAGATCTCTTTGTTAGGCATCCTGTGGTCCCTGTCAATCTCAACTCTACACAACAGGTTTTGGAGGTAGGATTGTGAGAGCAAAGAAGAAGAGGTGAGAACTGGACATACCTATTGACCTTATTCATGGGGAAGGCTCTCACAAGCTTCCTTCATTCCCTTGCTTGGGATCTGCCTGTGATTCTGCATTACTGGGGAACCCAGTGGGTTTCTGATGCAAAGGAATTAAACTGTCAGAGAGCAGCATATGCCAGAGAGCAGTGTGGGGAGGGACGAGCTCACTGAGAGAGACTTGATCTGACTGGAAAAATCAAGCTGTGGGTTTTGACAGATAGTTCTGCATCATCTACAATATGAAACTCATCACAGAGAATCTGGATGAGGAATTGGCCTTATGTTTTTATATAGGGACAGTCTACTGCCATACTTTTTCAGATCTGAATCATATTTTATTCATAGTGAAAAGCACTTGTCTTTCATTTAATGTTTTTGTAAATGATGTTTCCAAAATCCAGTTTCATTATCCAGGAAGAGCCTGGAGAATTTTCTCTGAAACAGTATCAGGGGCATTTCTGCATGTCAAATATTGGTGTTTTCAGAACAGGGACTGGGACAGGGCTAAAGAGATGTACAGTTTATTTCTCTGAATTTGCTTCACGAAGGAAGGACAGGTCAATGGATAAGCAGGCTTTATGTGACTTGTAAAGCATGCCTAAATCTGCCTACGTGTTCCAAACTTATTTCTAGATTCATATAAAAGTTGCCTACTTACTTGACCATTTCCTGATGGAAGTATCAGCATTAAAGCTACTGGCTTGAATTCTGAACCTAACCACATCCCCTGAAACTTCAGATAAGTTAATGGAGCTGCAGAGGGAAAGAGATAAATAGAATTTCCCCACAGGCTTTAGTGCATGTTGTCATAGGGCCTTCATACAACTCTAACAGAAGTCAAGCAACTGAAGGAGAGGAATTAAAATTTTCTTCCAAATCTCCTCTGAAATTCTCGTTTCTGTGGAATCACATATGTACGTGAAGAGTTATGTTGTTGTGGGGCCAGTATAATCTAATTTCCTGTAAAATAGGGGGGTTATATCAAAATGGGTCATAAGTAGACACAACCTTGCAACGTGCCTTTTTCATGTGAATCTGATAGCCTGGAGCAAAATCTAGTATTTGGATACATCAAGCCAAATTCAGCGTCTCATTCTAAGCTATTTAAATACTGCAGAGGTTGATCTATTATATTCATTTATGGAACTCCTTGTAGTAGCTCTGAACCCAGAAACTGTAAATAAAAGTTCATTTTCATTCACATACAGAGCACAGAAGTTGCAAATTGCCTCAGGTCATTTTTTATCAGCAGGTCCAACAGTGAGTATAAGGAAATTAGGATGATACTGCAGATAGCTTGAGGTGATTGAAATGGCCAATTTGACAAGATTTTAAAGTCAGCTACAGGGAATACATAAAGATGGCCCTTATCTGTGGGATGCAAGTACTGGCGTACGGTAGAAACTGGGAAAGCCTGGGTGGTTGTCATTGCTCTGTGTGATGGGGCATGTAAGACGAGGCAATGGGACAAAAAAAGGTGCATGACTTGCCTTGCACTTCACAGAGGTGGGAGGTAGGTGATTCAGTGTACTGTACTCTGCTTCTTACCATACAATACCAACACACACTGGTCAAAAGTAGAGGAGAATAGTCAAATAACCAAAAAAGTCTGTTTTCCATTCTGTGTTCCAGCTCTACACAGATCTTTAATATATGAGATTGGATTGCTAGTTCTTTTTTATCAATAGATGCATTATCATCTATAACTTGGATGCAACTCTACACAGAAACTCTGTGTTGACTTCTTATTTATGGTGAAATCCCAGCTCCCACCACACAGAAAACCAGCATCGCACTGGTACTCTTTTCAGCAGTGCAGAGGATTCATGCTAGCTCTCTGCAGAGAGGACATTTTTTCTTATACTTCTGTTGCATCAGACATAACATAGTAGAAAAAGTGGACAGTACTTTGAATGAGAATCCTAATTACTAACTGAAGAAAAGCGGATATGAATTTAAAAAAAAATTACATGTGAAGTTCTGCACTGATATTTTCCCAAGGAAACTCCACCATTCTACTGGGACAAGGAAAAACAGAAAGTACAACCCTCATTTTCCTGGACAAAGAGCTTGTATAATAACAGCTGTGACCAAACCCAAGAAATCAGAACAAGTAGAAAGATACTTCAATACTACTCATCTTATATGAGCCCATTGATTACAGTTTGATCCAGAGAGTCTATAGACCGATCTAGCCTGAAATTCAGTTAACTTGGTACACATTTGCAGCTAGAAACAGGTCTGTGGTGGCAAGTGCAGCAGCAAACAAGCACTGATTTAAAGATTCGATATCTAGGGTTTCTAAGTTTAAGTAACAGATTTTCCCAAATCAACATTTTCCTTCATCATACCTCAATAGACAGTTAAATTGCTCCTCCTAGGATACAGGACAAACTTCTTTTTAGACTGAAGGACAGAATACATCATTACTGCTACACTCCTGTAACACAGTTCTTTTTTGGAACTGGTAAGTGTTTTGTGAAAGAAACAAAGACAGACAGACTTGTTAATAATTTTCTCTTTGGGATTATAGTAGCAACTAAGAAATACTGCTTTTGGTGAATATAAGCCAGTCTTTTAAAAAGGACAGTGGACTTCTCCACTTTGTCCCGTTCCCAGCAAATGTGTGCTGAGATAGCCTAAAACATGCTCAAAGTTATAGCAATATGTTTTTCTGCTGAGATGCTCATCAGTCACAAGAAGAGATGGAGTAAGAGTATTGCCTTTTTCAGAATTCTTTTAGCATATGAAAAAAAAACCTATACACAATTAACTTGTACACTGCTGCATAAACACAATCTCTTTCCACTAGGTATAATGCACCTTTGGAAGAAGCTGCACGTGACCAAAAATCCTGGGAACTTTGGGATCCATTTTGGCTGTGTTACACATAGATCTGTGAGCAGCTCCAAGCTGCACGCTCTCTTCTTGTGATCCCTCAATAGAGGAATCTATATCCATAACGCTTTTCTTAGCTGGTTTGTTACGAGTTCAGCAGTCCTGCCACAGGCCTTTCAGGAAGGTCCCTTGTATTTTTCATACCGAACTTGTACATTTAAAATCTCATGTTTCTCTTGTCTTACATCACTCATACAAATGGTGTCATCACTGCAGAGGAGTGACGCAGTCCCTGGATAGCTGCATAAGGACCCTGCTGAAAATAATGGTGGTACCTAGGCATGTGGAAGGAAGGGAAAGTGGGGCCACTACCTTGCATGGAACTGGCTATAGCAGAGGGTGTAAGAGACATTCCCAGGCGGCTGTATGGGGGCAGAGATCCTTGGATTGGATGAGGAATGGGTGTAGCTATGGACGCAGTGCTGGTACCCAGGGCACTCAAAGACTGTGGGTGCTGAAATCCAGGAAAACTGGTTGAGGAAGATACCCAGGAACTGAGAGACAGGTTATCAGATGTTGTAAAGGCTGACCCTGCAAGCAAAGAGAAAGAATGCCTGACATTTGCACTGCAACACACAAAGCTGGTAAAATAGCAAAAAGGGAAAAAAGTCTTTCACAGCAAGGCTAATGTTAATGACAAGTTGTCAACAGAAATACTTCCCAAATACTTATCCTTATATCTTTCTTTATAATATTATTGGCCAGTTGCTGTCCTTTATCACTGCATCTTAGACAAATTTCCATTTTAAGAAGCTGGTTGCAGTGGCTTGCATGGTAAAATCAGCTTTGCACATTGGACATTTTTGGTATTAAACACTGAAGAACCTTGCAATGCTGCCACTAAACACTGAAGCATTTGCCCTGACATGGAATCTCACTGAATTACAGCACTGTTTTGAAGACATGATTGTAGCTTTTTACATCAGATCCTCAGCAGAACTGGTTATTTTTTTCTAAAATTTCAGTCTGGCAAAAATGCAGAAAAATGTAATCTGCACTACAAGTTTTCCTTTTTTTTTTTTTTTTACCTCAGAAAAACTTGCCAACACCACATCTTTTCATTCAACTTGGCTTTTTCGAAAATATAGAACAAAAAATTCCAAAATGTCAAAACATTTGTTATTTTTCCAACTCTGTACAGTGCTCTAAGAAACAACACTAATGCTAAATCATAGTAAGAGGTGTGGGGTTTTAAGTGAAAGGCACAAAAATATTAAAAACTTGCTCCTGGGGTAATTATCTACTATTTGATCAAATGGAAGTGGCTTCTTTGGTATTTTTTTAATCTTAAAAGTTCCAAAAAGTCTTTTCACAAATCTTCCACCTTTTCAGAACACGTTTTCTCTGAAGACTGAAAAATCAGAAAAAAAAGGAAAAATGGTATCTTTAAATTAGAACTAATTATTTATTTTATTTTGACAGTAAAATTTTTGGGAAACCAATGAACAATTTGTTTTGGTAATTATACGTGGTCATTTTCAAATAATCTGGTGATGATGTTGCCCTTCACCTCTGCAGTTCCTCTACGCATCTGGTCATCATCAGATATCTGATTTCTAGAAATGGGGAATACAATAAAATCCTATAAATAATCTCTTATTTTTTTATTCCTATTCAAACAGTAATCCAACTCATGTCCCTTCTGTATTTTCTTTCTTGTCCAACTTTGTCCATGGAGGAAATATTTCTTTGAGAAATAAATTTACTGGCAAGAATATTTGGCAAAATATAATACCAAGGCAGTATTGCAAAACATTCTGAGAAAACAAATTTTACAACAGGTATTGGTTTCAGAAATCTGATTCTAGAAGATAGTTCATCCAAATTGTGAGAAGAAAAAAATATGAAGACATCTATCTGTCAAGGTAAACATATTGGAATTATGTATACTAACCAATGGTAGCCATGTACTCAAAACAAAACGATAAGCAAACAACAATAGAAAGAAAAATGCAGATTATTATTTTTAAAAAATCATAAACCTCTTTAGGGATACATTCTCAAATCAGAAAGAGGGCTACTCTTGATTAGCTCCTCCTCTGCTTAATGAAACAAGTAAAACGGCCCAGTAGCAGGGAAGAGAAATTGTGTCAGCTCAGCAGTAAAAACAGACTTGAACCAAATCCTGACCCCACCACTGAACCAAATCCTAACTGCTGGGGAGTTAGGATCCAGAGCCAAACTATAAGGATAACACCACACCCTGAGCTTTATGGCCCTTCAGGGAAAGCAGGATGTGAATCTGGATTTGACGAGAAGGTTTACATTTGGCTCTGTTCCAGGTGGCTACCATGAATCCCATGTGCAAATGCTGGAGCACAGGCACCCAGACATTATGCATTAAAGAGTTTTAATTGGATTTATATATTTCATATCTGTTAATTCCTTTGGAAACAGACTTCTTGTGATAAATATATTACTGAAGGCTAGCCACTTCCATCTTTAGATGGCTGAAATTAGCTGAGATGAGAATGCTCTGGATGTAATTAGAAATAAATAGCAGTGATAGACTTTCCTTGTTCTACACAGAACAAAGGATGTGATTCCTTCTCATGAGGAACCTCCATAAGTGCCTTTCCTCCTCCAACTGCAGTGGTCTCTAATTACAACTTAGTACTCCAAAAAGTCTCATTTGCCAGCGCCAAGATGTGCTGTAGTAATTCTGAGGCAGTCAAGGCCTCAGAGGGCTTATAACACACACCACCCAGCAGTGTTTGTATTTGGCTGTCAACTCTCGTACATATAGAAGGACACCCCTCAATTCTGCATGCAAGGTAGTTTTCAAATGCATCAGAAGAAATAAAAATGTCTGTGGAGTTTCAGTAAGGTCACTATTTCTCTCCTTGTGTCTTGGACAACTTTTTCTTTTTTAAGGACACCAGACCTAAACAGAGAGTGAAGGCAGTACAATGTAGTCATCTGCAAGAGCAGTATGTTTTACCCTCTGTGCATGCCTCTGGTTGCCCAGAACAACGACGTCCTACATTAGCATATGGCTCCCAGATCAGAAAAAAGTTAGTTGCCACAACTCATCATCTTCCTCACTTATTTGCCATATTGCAAGGAAATGCAGAACTGTATCCTGTACATATTATAAATAAAATTAATTTTAATAAACAATTCCTTCATCCTCTGACACCTTCCTCAGGATTCTCTTCAGAAGAGAAAGGCTCTAAAGGCCCGTTCTCATACTGAGGTTCCCCTCATTCACTTTGTCGCTCCCAAAGCAGGACATCATACCAGGGAGAAATGTAATTCTTGGAGAAAAGGTGCCTTGCTCTGAGCACTTCTGGCAAGGGAAAATTTAACACTGTCTTCAGCAATAACTGGCCTAGGATCTAAGCTGACGTGAAGCGAGGTAATCCCCCAGAAGTATGTGAAAGGATGGTACTGTACCAGCTGAGGAATTGCTCCAGAAACTCCGCAATCTAAGGAACTGCTCTCGGAATAGACGTGTATGAACAAGCCCACCTAATCACATTTTGTTGAAGAGCAACTTGTGGTTAAAAATAAGCGTGTTTTCCCTGCAGAAGTCCAAAGACCTTATGAACAGAAATAATGCTCTTATCTTAGCAACACTGTATGAAGTTAGAGGACAAGACAAGGGCACTGCCAGTCGCAAGGCAGATAGAACTGCTTTACCTCAAGTGGCTGTTGCATGTCAGGCAGGTCACAAAGTCAACATGCAAAGTATAATGCACCACAAGTTTATGCTAGTCAGAGATCCCACAGGATGGGTTTGAGATCTATTTCCAGTGGCAAATTATGACAGATGCAATTTGTCCAGCAAGTAGCCCCACAAAGAACAGCTCTGCTTTGCTCCTACTCTTGCGACTGCTAAAGTAGACAAACCATTTGATAAAGCATTTGAGGTGAATTGCCTCAGAGGGAAAAGCACCTTTTAGAGACCAAGAGATAAGAATTAAACACCAGTTTTCCAGGGAGCTATGGACTTTTCTTCCTGTAGAACCAAAGCAGGTTAACCACAGGCTGGTTGAAGATGGTCAGAACCAAGTCCTCTGTTCACAGAAGGCTGGAGGGGCAGCAAATGGCACATCTACATAATACTTTACAAATGGTGCTGAGCCCCAGCTAGTAAGTCCTGCTAAGGGATGGGAAGCCTTAGCTTGTTCTCAGCACCATGGTAACGAAGTCGCCTGTTTTTCAGCCATGTTGAAGAGGAAGCAGAGATAGTTCTCTTCTGCTGGCAAAGGCTGTATAGGCATCTCTTGAGCTGCCTCCTGAACTAGCCACCCACACTAGTGCCATGGGCATATCAGGTGTCCAGAAGAGCCGTAAGGTAACAAGTATTATTCTTCATTATAGGACCTAATGGCAGAAAGACACACCAGAGAAATGCTTCAGAGTAACACAGTACTGACTGTGGTCCTCCTTTTCTCAAGCATAACTAGGTCACCACAGTTTACCTCATGAGCACATTTTCCTACCTCTGTTTTGTGTTGCCTGGCTATCATCTCCAAGATCATCTTCTCCTCCATAGGTTCGAATGGGGGATCGGGCATAGGAATGCTTTTGGATAAGGCTCTCCACACTTTCTCTGTGAAAGGAAACAACACACCATATCAATAACATCCTGAACAGCCTACTAATCCATTAGGTTAAATACAGTGAACATGCTGCCTTTTCCCTGTTCAGACCACAGCTTTCTCACACAGAATCTCCAAAATTACTTAACAAAAGGGTTACCTCCACAGCATGTCACTGGAAATGCCGAACTTGGCCTGCGGTGTTTTAACATTGCTCATCACCTCTTACCTGCGTGGTACTGCTTCTTCAGCAGATGAAGTAGAGCAAACTTCCCACTGCCTTTCCTGGATGTGGTCTCAGATGGGGAATATAAGACCAGCACTCTTCACAAATTTGGAAATGCAAGCTCTGGGGTTATTCAGGCTGAGTGACCAATCTGGGTTCAAAGAGACACCTGTGGTCCAGCTCCTTCCAAACAAGCTTTCACATCACACCTGACCACCTCATCTGGTGCTCTCCCATTTTTCTGAAATCAGGGGCAAGAGACAGATGTGTCTAGAGACAGCTCAGCTCTAACCATGCTTTCTCAGCATCAGAATGGAAACCAGTTCATAGCAGGAAGTCTACAGATACTACTGATCTTGTGCCATGTCTATTCTGGGAAGTTAGACGTGTCTGCCAGGCCCCCGCCTTGCTGGTGGCACAAAGCACTGAAGTCACCCAAACAATTTTTAAATAGAAGGAAGGCATATCTGCACGATAAGCCACAGCAGTCTGTAAGGAAGATCCAACCTTACACATTCCGAGCGCGTTTCCATGTAAGTAGGTGGCATGAATATGCTGAATATGACCTAGGCACATTTCCAAAATGGCTTTGACATTCTGTTCCCGTTTAAGAAATCTAGGTAGTGATAGCTGTTTAAATCTGCTGCTGGATGAAGGTTTTGTCTGAATTTACCATTCGGCCATTCATACTTGCTAATGCCCTTCGCTTGGAGAGTGTGGCTGTTGCAGAAATTCCAAGGAAAAACATTTTCCAAGTAACTCGATAAATCACAATGGCACATGTTTTTCTTTCCTACAGAAAGCCCATTATGGTCATTTTGTCCTTGGTCTATCACTGGCATCATTACTTATGCTAGTCTCCTCAGAAAAAAAAAAATAAAAAGGGGATCTTATCAAGGTGATTTACTTGTGTCAGGATTGGAAGTGGACTGAAAGCAATGGCAGCTCCTACATAGAGAATTATATAATTGAATTACTGTCTTTTAAGTGATTGAAAACAGTAGGCATATCAGGGCTATCTCAAAGAAGATTTTAAAAGAAAAAGACAGATGGCATTGTTTACATTATGTGCTGAATGCCTCTTGAAACTTTTTTTTTTCTGAAGCAGAATGTGAAATGCAAAGAATTCTACTTAACCAAAAAGACTATCTATCTCAAACAAGTACAGAATAACTGAATAATGGATTAGACCAGTGTTGTCTGAGTGACTTAGGTACCAGTCTGTAAACATATTCCTAACCAAAGAGTTACTAATCTTTAAAGGTCTGAAAAATATATGTGATTCAGGTGATTGCCTGTATTGACTTTATTTCTATTAAAGGTCTGCTTATAACAACAGACATTACAACATGTAATAATATTCTGATGCAACAGAAATAATGCAGGCCCTAATTTCCATGCAGTGGGCCAAATTCATCTCTAAAACATTGGATCCAATGGCGGTTTGGGGATAAACTCACCCCAATAAATTTACATTTGAATTACCTACAGGGATTTAAACCTAAATCAAATGCCCACAATTACTGCAGACAAAATTCCTTCCAGATGGGTTTGTAAGCTAGACAGAGAACTCTATTATTCTATATGGTTTTCTTCTTTTAAAGGAAAAAGAGAGGTGACTTCTTAGTGAACCTTAAATCTGAAACCAGGGAACTATGTGGTAGGTTTATTTATTTATTTTTAATGTTGTAATGTTGCAGGTAGTATGCTAAAGGTTTTAGAAGATTAATCTCCTTCATTGGCACAAGAAGCAAAGGTTTTTACGGCAGAGGGAACGGTCTAACAAGGAAACTTGGATCAGGGAAAGCAACTAATTCACAAAAGCAGTTCCTTTTGCACAGCTGGGAATTAATATTCAAAACTGTATACGCTTACCTTGCCCATCCATGTTGGTGGTTTACGCTATAATCACAACATGTCTACTAATTTTTCATTTTAGAGGGTGAGGCTGTGATTCACATCATGAGCGCAAAGCTTGGAGATTCACACCAGAATTTAGGCATCTGGCCCCCACAGCCTCCAAGCGGACACTCTTCTTTCCACATACAACACATGCTGCATATAAACCTCCAAAACAGACCTACGAAATGCAAAAGGCTGAGCAGAAAACCACCTAAGTGTGCAAAAGGAAACAAAGAAAAACAAGAAGTGGTGTATTTTCTCCACTCATGAAGTATATCTCTGAGTTATCCCACCAAGCACTGTTTCTTCCACCTAGAAAAACAAGAGCCAAAGTCTGCACTCAGGCCTCCCCCATCCTAGAGAAGTGACCTAAGTTAAGGGATAATCTTTCCTGCCCTTTGTGTTTCAAAGGAAAGGAGTGGTGGCCTCTGCACCATGCTCAACTATTTCATGCTCAGAGAACACCACCTGGAGATCAAGTCTTCTTGGGGAACAAAGCGGTTGCAACTCATCTAATCTATGGAAACGTGTGGAGTTTCCCACATAGCTTGGAAAGAGGAGGCCAACCTCCTCCAGCCTTTAAAGACAGAGGTGCTTTAGGACTTTCTCCAAAGTAGATGTGTAGGAGGAAGCAAAACTTTAACAACAAGATTTAAGTCACTGTCAAGTCCAGTTCAAAATGCAGGAACAAAGCTGGCAATCTGGAACACGGGTTCCTGCTTATACCCTTTTTTCAGTTGGGGACGAAAGGATTTAAATCTCAAAATCATCCCAAAAATTCTGCTTATGGAAGTGTGAACTGTTTAGAATATCCAGAATATGGTGCTCTGTAGAGTGGACCAATAAAATTTTTAAAGTCCCAGAATTTTATACTATTACTACTACTACTACTAAGACAGCAAGACATTAATTTAAACTTCTGGCTTTATAGTTCTGTATGCATCATCTTCAGATATCTCAATGTGGTTCAAAGGATGTATGGAAATAAATCTATAAATTACCATACAATAAACCAATATTTGCCATTTTATGATTCTGCTCAACAAAAAAAAATTAACAAGTGAAGAGTATGGTGCTTTTTAAAGCTTTCCTTTAGTATTTTTCAGAGCTGATCCACAGTAAACTGGCTGAAGAACAAAGTGACTCCCAGTTACTCAATGCTCAACTTCTGCACTTCTGTTAGTTTGTGATCAGACGCTTGTTATCTAATACTTGGACCTAACAATTTTTACCTTTTAATATATCTTAGAACTCCACAGTTTCTTCTATTAGCAATAAATTAGCAATAAACTTTGTTTTGAGAGATGACAAGCTGCCAGCTGGAAAAAGGAACGACATCTTCTTTCTGTCAAACTCTTTTGTGTGGTCTACTAACAATTTTCAGCCTTCCAGACTGCTCTTCAACTCACAGATATCTTGTAAATACCCAGAGGAGGGGAAAAACGCACACATAGGCATAATATATTACTACGATTAAGCTGTGCTATGTGTACAACTGGATAATAGTAGCAGATGACAGGCTGGAGAAGGGCAAGTTAGGGGCTGAAGCTGTTTGAGAAAAAGAAGAAGGAACCACATGCCAAATGGAGTGGAAAAAACTAAGCTCGTATTGGCTAGCACACCCACAGAGAAGATGCTGAGGCAGGACAAATGTGAGGAGAGGTAAAAGGGAAGGGGGCTCCGGCTGATCCCAATGATCTGTAATCTCACAGAAGCACACCTTGAGCCCAGCCCTGTCAATAAACCTCTGTTTATGAACGAAGCACTTCTCTCCTTTGTGCAAGAAATAAAACAGTGAATTTTGAACCAGGAATTGAAGGAAGCACAGGGTTGGGAGAATTTATCAATTAGCAAGGGTTTAGGGTGCACAGGGAGCATCTTACTATTTGGCAGGATTTAACCTCTTGACTGAAGATTTCACTCTTGTCCCTGCTGGCAACTGATTCCAAAACTAAACTTCCAGCTAGGGATGCTTTATGTCTTGCAGCTACAAGCTGAGTCTTTGGCCTTATTTAGTTAACAGTGCCCTGTATGTACAGAGTAGTCTCAGAGGATCAAAAGTAGATAGGAAAATCCTGATGTAACCGACAAACAATTCACTAACACTTTACGGACTAAACCCAAGATCTTGCCATGGATATGAACTGGGAGATGGCAGAAAACAGAGCTGACTTGGGAAGCAGCTGAGGAGTGAGGCCCTGCTTGAGGATGCTCACTTCCTTTTGCTGTCAACCCAGATTACAGAAGTTCTCTCGGGAGATGGTAAAGTCCCAGATTACCCTGAGCAGGATCTTTAATCAAGATGAAAAGAACAGTGCTTCTTTGTAGGTGGAAGCAGGCATCTCTTTGATGCTGCTTCTTGTCATTTTTTCTGCTCCTTTTGCTGTTACTCTGCTTCAGCTGTGCATTCACAGCAGCCTGGTGATCACCGTGACCCTGATTCTGAAGCACATGACCACGAGCCCTGGTGATATGGAAGGGGGCTCACCTGGCCACAACGCACTGTCAACACTGATGCTGATACATGCCAGCATGCACCTGAAGCTATGGATTTCCTTGAATTTGGCGGAGAGTGCACCCAGGGGATGGAGACAGGAAGCCTACCTTCTCCCTTTGGGAAGAAGGGGCAATATATTTGGTTTTGGCAGAAAGTGTTAGAAAAGCTAATTCAGAACTAGCTTGCTGGAGCCAGGCCTGGGTTAGTATCCATCTTAGATCTATAATATGGCTCCAAAGAGGATGAACTGGATGTAATAGGCAGGCACCCATTCCACTGGGAGCCAGATTCAACCTCCTTTGAAGACAACGTGCAAAAGCCAGACTGCAGTGAGAAAGAACAGCTGGCAGAGCCGGGCGCTCTGAACTCATTATCTTCTGCAGAAG